TATATTATATATATATATATATATATATATATATATATATACATATATACATACACATATATATATATAATAATGATTATGATAATAATAATATAATAATGATATTAATGAAATAATAATAAAATAATAATAATAATAATAATATTAACAATAATAATATATATATATACACAGGCACATGACACATTCTACATGAGCATGGAGATTCCCCCAATAAGCCGGTGAGTGTTCTAAGGGGGCGCCACTAATAAGCACATTACGCCGACGGCCACCAGGGCGCAGCACTTACTTTCAGCTTGCTCGTGTTCTCGAGCGTGATGAACTTGCCTTCTGCGCTGACCTCTGCAAAGGTCACCGGTCCCTTCGACGACTTTTGGAACGACGACTTAGAACTCGACTGACTCGAGATAATCTTCATCCCGCCGCCGGCAGCGCCACCTGTAGGAGCAGATGCGAGTTATCGGGAGTACTAGGGGAAGGAGTTCTGTGTCTACCCTGGCGAGCAGGGCCATATACCCTGGAGCCGTCCATCGTGTGTATCGTTTAGCCACGTCCGAATGAGTAATATTGCAAACGAATGAGTAATATTGCATCTGTGGTTTCATGAATTCTTTTTTGAATAATTATTAATTAATTATTTACATGTTCATTTAATTATATATTGATTTACTCTTATCATTCACTCATATCTGCATCCTTTTGTCTTTCTTTCTTTTAATTTTCTCTTTTCTTTCTTTGTTTGAAATGAAACCAATGACAATATACTGTAATACATAGCGATGGCAATGAAAGAAACGACAGCGATAGCGGTAACTGATACAATGGCTCCTGCTTTAACGAGTCAGAACTGGAACCACGAAAACGTCCCGATTAAGCGGTGACTAACATAACAACGGGCGTAATGATTGTTTCTCAAAGACACGTGTCGTTTAAGCGGTGCGCCCGTTTATCCGAGTTCCGGTTAAACAGACACATACTGTAGCGGCTGCTTCAGGAGAATTGATGGATGTATGAATAGGTGAAGCGTATAAGGAGGCAGAATGCGGGCCATACCATAGAAATAATATAGGGACAATATAGAAACAATAATTATAGAAATATAGAATATACAAACAATAAATATTATGTAGGTTAGGCTAGTTAGATAGTGTCTCCATATAATACCAGCCATTTATAGAAATAATATAGAGACAATAAAGAAACAATATAGTAATATAGAATATGGAATATAGAAACAATGAATATTATGATAGTTATATCTGGTTAGATAGTGTCTCTATGTATTTCTATGTGGGCATGCGTACCTGGGTAACGGGCTGGTGTGACCTGTGCCTGCTGCATATGCTCCTGCTGTGATGATGCTTGCTGAACGAGTCTGAAAACAAGATGGCGGAAAATAAGATGTATCCGCTGTCTCTCTCCTGCTCTCTCTCTCTCTCTCTCTCTCTCTCTCTCTCTCTCTCTCTCTCTCTCTCTCTCTCTCTCTCTCTCTCTCTCTTACTATTATTAGCTCTTGATCTTGATGCTATACTACTACTACTGACTGCTACTGCTATAGTGACTCTCTATAGGGAGTGAGTAAACAATGTAATAAAACCCCGGTGCACACACACATGGCGCACAAACCTCGTCCTTCTCATTCAGCAAGCACGTAGACACGTTGAAGCCCGTCCCCCAGGTGTCGCTGTCCGTCAACACTAGTTCCAACGGGGGCCGGTAGGGACCGGCACCGTTCGCCCAGATCTGCGGGGAAGTGAAGAAATTGGGTGAGTGATAGATGGGGAGGGGGGAGTCGAAGATGTGTTAGTTACGTGGGTAGATTGGATTTTGTGTATTTATTCATAATTTCGGTGCTGCTTACATAGCGAATTTAAACGTTTTATCGTTTTGATCAATAATAAAATATATATATACTTATACACTATATATATATATATAAATGTGTGTGTATGACATAGTTACATTGATACAGTAATGTAAACCCGTTCTTCCGTGCGTGTGTGTGAGTGCGTGCGTGCGCGTGCGTGCATGTGTACGTGCGCGTGCGTGCGTGCGTGCGTGCGTGTAGCCGTGTTGTTTACCTTTACGGTTCTGCCAGCCTTCAGGATAAAGTGCATGCGTGAGTGCGTGCGCGCGGGCGTGCATGTGTACGTGTGCGTGCGTGCGCGTGCATGTGTATACGCGTGCGTGCATGTGTACGTGCGCGTGCGTGCGTGCGTGCGTATAGCTGTTTTGTTTACCTTTACGGTTCGGCCAGCCTTCAGGATGAAGTGCATGCGTGAGTGCGTGCGCGCGTGCGTACATGTGTACGTGTGCGTGCGTGCGTGCGTGTGCATGTGTATATGTGTGCGTACATGTGTACGTGCGCGTGCGTGCGTGCGCGCGTGTAGCCGTGTTGTTTACCTTTACGGTTCGGCCAGCCTTCAGGATGAAGTGCATGCGTGAGTGCGTGCGCGCGGCCGTACATGCGTGCGTGCGTGTGCATGTGTATATGTGTGCGTACATGTGTACGTGCGCGTGCGTGCGTGCGTGCGCGCGTGCGTGTAACTGTGTTGTTTACCTTCACGGTTCTGCCAGCCTTCAGGATGAAGTGCATGCGTGAGTGCGTGCGCGTGTGCGTGCGTGCGTGCGTGCGCGCGTGCGTGTAACTGTGTTGTTTACCTTCACGGTTCTGCCAGCCTTCAGGATGAAGTGCATGCGTGAGTGCGTGCGCGCGTGCGTGCGTGCGTGCGTGCGCGCGTGCGTGTAACTGTGTTGTTTACC